CCTCAACGTCTCACAACCCTATGGGCCTTCACGGCTTGTTACAGGGATAGCTTTACTTTACTTTATCTCAAGTGGTCACTTCTCTTACGGATTATAACAAAAGTTTATATCAATATGTATTATTAATCTCCTTTATTCATGCTATGCACTCCGCCCATCTATCCTTGACTTGATCACCCTTGTATTATTTGATTCCCTCAACAACAAAAGCAACTGGGAGTATTCATCTAGACAACTCTCTGTTAACTTAGTTCCTACCTCACTTGGTCTTATCATGACACCAACGTTTCGGAAACACCTGCTACCTTCACATTTCGGGTAGAATTCCTCTGCTTTTGCCCGGAAATTTGAGGAAGGGTATCCACCGAAATATTTGTAACCACTATCCGAGGGTGTGTTATAGCTCTGGCGGTTAGCAGCAGAATTCTTACCGCGGGGGGGGGGGCTAGAGTTCAATTCCAGTATGAGTTTCGTGGCGGATAAACTTTCACTGTAACAAGCATTTCTCCGAGCACTTCAACTTTCTTCTTCCAGTTATGATTCCGCCAGCGTCCCAGACCCACAGGCCCGTTTGGAACCACAGTCCAAAGGGACTTTGTCCCACTTTACTCATACTGTTAGAAACAAATATTTATCAGACTACACGGCGTCAGATTCTAGGACACACAAATTTATTTATTTTTCAGTGTTTCAGAAATTAGATGTACCTACGTACAGATGCAGTATAGGTTTATTGTCAAAGAATATGTGATATTTTGTGCTTTCAGTTTAAAATTACTTTCTCTGGGCAAAATTTTTAGAGGACTTGAGTCATAGACCTGTGATTGGTCCGCTCTTTTCACTCTTTATAAAATTCCTTGCGCTAAGGGAACACGCATAGTACATTGAAAAACAAAATACTGTGGGACAGATATGGGACAAGCAGAGCGTGGAGGTGACTGTGTAAGAGGAAGTATGTAATTTGCACGGTTTTCATGTCATTATTAAACAAAAGAAATTACTGTGAGTGAGGCCTATATATCAGAAGTGGAGGGGCTCTTGAGGGGTAAATTTCTGATAAATCTTTCGCTTTCTGTGCTCAGTATAAAGATACTTTTAGACAAACGGATTGTTAAGACAACAAGTTTTCCGATCTGGCGACGTTGAATATTAGGCATAAATTTTCATATTTGGTGGTTGGTTTATAGTTCGCTTACGGACCGAATCCACGGAGTTTTTTTTTTTGGTGGTTGGTTTAACCGCATATAACGTAAACGCCTTGCAAAATAAAATAAAAAAAAAATAGTTTCTATTTCACAACAAACACATTACTTTTCCATTAAAAAGAACAATTAGTTGATAATATTTAGAGAAATTGTCACGCTTTCTATTTTGAGAATCATACGAGATATGGGCCCCTATCCTATATCCTGTAGAGAAGATATGCAGTTTTTTAAACATTAAATTAACATAATTAACATTATAATTTAAATCATTATTTCAGACGTTCACGATGGTGCCAAGAAAGACACAATAACATGCTTATGTTAATATTATTTCTTACTGAAAACGTCACAACACAATCAGTAATACGTGTAAGTAGCTCTAGGAGATGCTTTTGCTACATGTTTCGGTCCTCAAAAAAGCCATCATCAAGCAAATACATTACGCTTATGTTACTTCAAAATTCTTCCATGAGTTACATTTCTCGTATTCCAATCGTTATGCAATGTTATTGCTATTTTTATAATGAAATTATTTCAACAATTAACGTATTTTATTATCACTGATTACTTAGTATATAACAATGTTCACATTGTCATGTCGACCCAGTGCCGGTTATATTCAATCAGGCACAACGGGGGTTTCCCTGTAGGCAGACTTAGGAACAGCATCTAACCTCAGACCACTTTCGTTTCCTTTCTGTTGTATAATTTTGCTGTTTAGCGACGTTCACATTATGGACACGCTTTCCTTCAAGCCATATATAATTCATTATTCGTTGATTATCAAACTGTCCACCGCTATGTCAGAGGCGCTGCCATGCGCATATAAAATCGACTTATTCGCTCGACATCGATAACATTTTGCAATGAAATCGAAGAGAAAATGAATGGAAGAAACAGGAGAAAATTCTAGCAGCTCTGGTACATAACTCTGCGTGAGCTGGTCTCTGCAAACACGCCCCGATTTGCGGCCCCAAACGTAAACTTCAAAATCTTCATATCCGGTTAAACAATTTTATCTTTTGCAGGGCTACGCTTACATGGTACTTCCGCGGGTTAACCATATTTGTTACATACCTGCAATTTCTGACAAGGGGAAAAGCTCTTCAGCCCTTCACAGCCGATGTATATAATCGCCATGATATGGCATTGGCTCGTCTGAATGTACATGGACTGCAGTAATTTGACAAATTAGAGCGATCTTCATGGCCGAATGTTTAAAAGAGGAGTTTCCGGGCAAGACGCCGGCTCAAATGAATGGATTTTTTTTTCTGATTTGATACGGCCCGTCCACTCGTATATTAGGATATTATATTTAATTAGTCAACAAGAGCAACGTCTTTCTTCATTTCTGATTTATTATTCACTAATCATCCCAACACTCGAAGTTATAAAACGTGACAAAAAAATCATGCTTCCTATGCAGTTGGAAACGGAGATTCTTTAGAAGGGGTAAATCGGCCGGGGAGTGAAGCTGGCTATTCATCTCCATCTACTGCAAAGGTCAAGAGTGGTGGAGCTGTCTCCAGTCCCTCATTATGGCTTCATGGCATAGTGTTTTTACTTTTCACTCTCACCTTTAAAAAAACATAAGGTAAAGGTAAAGCTGTCCCTGTGCTCAACGAATTAAACACTACGCCATGAAGGCGTATGGTGGAGTTGATGTATACATCCACATTTTCTTGACCTCGGCATTAGCTGCAGGTGAGTGGTCAGCTTCACGCACCGGCCGCTTTATCCCCGGAGAAAGAGCCCCCAGAACCCATTGGATAGGAAGTTTGGTGTACCACAGAGCCGGTCTTGACGATTTGGAGAACAGAAGATTCTTGTCACTACCGGGACTCGAACTCCGACCCCTCGGTCNATTATTATTATTATTATTATTATTATTATTATATTGGGCAGGGGTTCATGAACTCGTAACAAGTTTCAGTTATCTGTGCTTTTTTTTTTTTAATTTTCTGTAACGAGGAGAACATTTCGGGTCATGGTGCTTCGCGTTAACTTAGCGGTTTCAGCCCATGAAAGTAACTTCACCTGTTACAGGAAGTTGTCGCTATATAGACTGCTCCCATTTAGCCCACGTACTGTGTATGATTCTCACAAGAAAGGGCGGTTATTTCGCTGATCGGTTTCGTTATGAAAACGAATTCAGTTCCCTGTGAAACATGAACCAAAATTTTAAATTTTATTTAAATTAACTTCATGCTTCTAATGGGGTTAGTCAATACATTCTTCAGTTAAACAGATGTCATCGAGTGACTCAAAATTCTGAAAGTTTTCTTTTCAGTCTTTATGTCAGTGATTCTAAATTATTGTCGGGGTTTCCGTGTCCTATATTCTTCAAACTGAGGAAAAAAAATTAAACAGCTCACGGAATACAAAAGCGTACCTCACACAGTTTGCCAGAAAATTTCTTGAAATGTATTTTCCCGGGCGCTGGGTTGGACGTGCTGGACCAGTTCCGTGGCCTCCGCGCTCACCCGATAGTAAGCCGCTAGGTTTCTTCCTCTGAGGATACGTTAAGGACACGTTTACAAGATCCCTGTGACCTCCCTCTATGAACTGAAGCTCGGAATTTTTCCTGCGATCCAAACAGCTACACCGCAAATCCTGGAGAACACTTGGAGGGAAATTGAATACCGTTTGGACATCTTACGTGACACAAAAGGGGCGCATGTTGAAGTTGTTTAGCATTGTGCAGCATTTATTCTACAATTATTGAAACTGTTGAGATACGCTTTCATATTCTGCAAACAGTTTTGTTTGTTTTCTGGCGTTTTGAAAATTATATACCACGGAAATTCCGACAATAATTTAGAATCACCCAGTATAATTATGTAATTTTGTAAAAATTTATTCGGATTTCAAATACACGAAATCTTGAGATTCTGCCTAGCAATCGGTCAGGCCTTTTATGGCATAGGTCGCGAGTTGTCCTGTTAAAATCGACAACCGCCATTAACATCGAACAAATAAAGAAAAATCTTTAAAGAAATAGACATTTACACAGACATATGTACTTATACATTAATGAAGGAGCAAAGACACGAAAGGGATTATAACCTGTTGAAAACTCAACGGAAATTCCATACCGCCATATTATTAAACTTCCCATTACAGAAAGAGTGTGCAGATTCTTATCTGTTATGCCACCGTGTAGTCTGATAGTTGGTTACCAACGTCTCTGAGGAATGTTCTTCACAGGTTAGTGTCACAAATGAGTTTCAGTTTGTAAGACTGTCGCGTTTAGTATCACATGACAGCCGATCACAGTGGCCGCGCGGTCTAAGGCATGAACTGTCTTCCCTCGCTTGAACGGTGGGATCAAAGGTTCGAATCCCACTCGATGCATGGATGTCTGTGTGTGCGTTTATTCTGTGTTTGTGTTGCCCTGTGTGTAGGTAGAGGCCTTGCGACAGGCTGGTCCAAGGAGTCCTACCGTAAAAAAAGGTTACGAAACTGAAGAACGGGTCACGGCCCAACAAAGAGCTGTGGAGCCATTGATGAACGAATGAAGTAGCAGCTAAACGAAGTAATTAAGTGACATCTGCTTGATTACAGGGTTACAGAATACTCTTTAAAGCGACTGGTGTCTTATCAGTTGTTGAACACTTTCAGAGCGGCGTTTCTGTCACGGTTTGTAATTCGTGCGGGAGTGCACGCAGTCAGCGAGTGTGGGTGGTCGCGTGACCGGCAAGTCGCCGCTCCATCTCCCGCGACCCGAGCGCGATCTCTCTCGGACACCTGTTGCCGTGCACGAGGCCTAGGGACTGCGGGAAGTGATCTACTTACATCCGTAAAGTCGGACATTATGTGTCGAGCACGAGGCAGAGGAAGAGCCAGCGCCAGTTTCTCTTCGACGACCATCAACGACGACGTCATGGGAACAAACACTGGTTCACACCGTCACACCAACTGTCAACACTACATATGAAGGAACACTTCGCATGGTCTCCCTGAACTGCCGCATCCCCCACTCAACATCTTTCATCTGAGTACGCTGTCTAGGGGCCCTCCCTCTGCTGTCCCGCCTGCCGCACATGGCAGCGAGGCATGATGTCACCGCCGACCAATCAGATGCCTCATCACCTGTCCGTTGTTGCTCTAAGCTGCCAACAGGTGGCAGGAGTATCGGCTCATTCAGCCCCCCCCCTGCCCGCATTTTTTTGTCATTTCATTCAGAAAGTTGCTTCTATACGAGTATATATATGAAAGGCAAGGCGACGTAAATAAATCTGTAACTTCACTTGCTATTGTTTAACCTTCTGAAACCTGCAGTTTAATTAAATAATATTTACAAATTCAGTTGCTTTGTCACAGAATACAGTGAGTCTCCATCACAGAACGAAATTGTTACTTCAGTTATGGGGATAATCGCCATTTGTTCGGAAAATAATAAGAAACACGCAAGCATACACTGTGGGCAGAATTGAGAGTTCATTTATGTTAATATAGATGGTACTCATATTTACCATTGTGCCTTGAGTTTGAGAATTTCACTACTTGGCCTAGTCTGCTTAGCCCTGTGCATCCATTTCAGACTCTTGGTTAGTAACGTAAAACTGGTTTCAGAGCGAGAATTTTCAATTACCCCGCAGTTCAATTCGTCTTCCAGTCGCCGTGTTAAAGTTGTGAGTCCGCGGGATAGGCCAGACAGACGTTTAGGCTGAGCAGTAAATTACGTTATTGGCTTCACGGGATATGGGCTCTGTGGACTCTCGGAAAGGAACAGAGAGAGACATTTTGAGTGCAGTGACCGACTGGCAGAGTATTATAGCTGTTTAAATAATCGTTTGATTTTGGGGGGCTACTTCAACTAAGAAATATGCCATCCATTTTAATTTTGAACAGAAAAAAAAAAGGAGAAAATTCCAGGCCAATTGTTTCCTGCGGCATTTTCCAAAACGTGGTGATATGTACGGGGTTAAATGTTCATTACTCCTTACATTTTAATATATTTTTCGTTTCTTAATAAAAGGAACTTGGATCTATAAGGTACCTTCCGTTTCTATATGTGTGTGTCTGTGTGTCTCTACATTTGTGTGTGCGTCTTTATCTGCGCGCGTGTCCTCCTTTTTAACTGCAAATTAATTTTCCGATTTTCATGAAGTTTATTATGAACTTATGCCATAGGAGACCACTCAAATCGTGTGCGTCTTAAATGACGCTCGGCGCCGAACAACAGAAAACACAGTCCTTCTGTTGTTGCTCCAGTCGTTTCCGTGGGAACATATTTGTTTGTGAAGTCGTTACATAGTAACGGCTTCATATATTTGCGTATTAAAACTGTTGCCTAACACTGAATGTTATTTCGTTGCCCAATTAGAGGCCGCTACCCAGCAACGACTCTACACGCTACAATAAATTACATTCTTATTGTGCTAAGAACCTTATATTAAGAATCGTTCTCTAAATTACATGTGCCTGCATGACTTCCTCTAACTTAGATTATGTTTTGGCTGCTACCCAGCCATGGCTCTACACGCTACAATAAATTACATTCTTATTGTGCTAAGAACCTTATATTAAGAATCGTTCTCTAAATTACATGTGCCTGCATGACTTCCTCTAACTTAGATTATGTTTTGGGTACATGACCGAAGTTTTCACTACTTCGAAACGGCTGTATTATAAAAATTTAGAAATAAATAAAAATACCTAGGAAGAAGTCATCGTATTCTCCATATTCAATAATAAAATTGATAATTGCAAGAAATTTCAGTTGGCTATATTCAAATGTACGGTAACGATCGAAACGCAAGTTTACGCACTGTTGCACTCTTCGTCTTAATGAGAACGCCTCAGAACTACACGCGCGACACTGGGCCAGTCTACCCACTGGCGGCAAGGCGCCCCACGGAGGAGCGGAAACAGGTTTCGTCCCGTGTAATGAAGTCGGGTTTCCTATGGATCTGAAAGTCTTGTTCCATGACAGACACAAAAGTCAAAATATTGCCAATACTGTGCCCTACCAGAAGAATGTAGCCCTGTAGTTCATGGTACGCTGTGAAGTAACATAACATCAGATTAACTTCTGTAGGATTGTCCCAGCTACTGAATTATAAGGTAAATCTATTCCTGTAAGAGGTCATGGAGACCCGTAGGGCTCTGAGACGTCAAGGAGCCCAAATTTTCTCTAGACAGTCACCTCCCAGATAGCGGTAAGTTTGTCAACTTTACGCACAGGCCACCCTTTNNNTTCCCCCCCCCCCCCCAAGGAATATTTCTGGTATTCATTTCTGCTAGAGGCTAAGTCGGCCCTAGGGCCATAGTACGGCTGGAAGGATTAACTCAATTGAAAACTCCAATGACATCATCGAGAATTGAACCTGCGACCTTCCGGTTTGTAGCATAGTGCCTCAACCAACCACGTTACCGCGTGCCCCCCCTCCCATCTTTTGGTTTAGGGGTAGGAATTCTGAATGAGGTACTGGCTACGGGCTGGAAGACAAAGGGTTCGAAGTTCGACTCCCGGTGGGGGTAAGAATGTTTATTTCTCCATGTCGTCCAGACCAACCCCGGACCTCACCCAGCCTCCTATTCAATGGATATCGGGGATAAAGCGGCCTGGGCGTGAAGCTGGTCACTCACAGCTATTGCAAAGGTCAAGAAAATGTGGATCTATACATTCACTCCCCCATATATTTTCATGGCGTAGTGCTTAATTAGTTAAGTACAGGGGCAAATTTACCTATACCCCCAACAAAGGCATGAACAGGCCACGACCTCTTCCTTCAAAATCTCTTCCAATCCACCTTTCATGTCTTCATAATCCTACAATTCCACTCCACTACTGAGAGCATCTTAAGATAACTAAAAAAAAGTGGTTCTCGTTTTGTTTAGGCGTGAAATATTTCGAAGCGATTTATCTTAGTTTGTAAGTTTCGGCATTGAAATCTGCCTCCCCAGCATCACGCACCAGTGTCAGCCAGACAAAGTGTGTCCTCTTTCAAATTACAGCCTTGCTATGATTGCAGCCCCACAATGGAATGTTACGTATGGCTGATGAAACGCATGATTAAAAAAACGATAACCGTTTCTCATTCACAGGCTGCGTTCTGCCGAGAACAAACCCAGCCTGTGTTTCTTGTCTGCATCGCGTCTCATATGCCGTCTAAGGCATGAACTGTCTTCGCTCGCTCACACACAGGGATCGTGATTCGAATCCCTCTTAAGGCATGGATGTCTGCGTGTGCGTTTATTCTGTGTTTTTTTCCCTGTGTGTAGGTAGCGGCCTTGAGACGGGATGATCACTCGCCCAAGGAGTCCCACCGTCTGTGAAAATGATTACGGAACTGAATAAGAGGCCAGGGCCCTCAATGGGCTGGAAGAGCCACTGAAAAAAAAAATCGTGTCTCAGAGCTTACTCACACCTTAAGTTTCCAGAGGCAGTCTTCTTGTACTCTTCTTCAACAGCGAACTTCCCGTGCCTACCCCCTACCCAGAACTTATTGACTTGTAACGCCGATTGTCTTCAAGGTATCTCCTCTGCACGGACCCCACGGAAAATACCGACTCCTTTTTTGTAAGGATGTATGTTTAAAGCCTCGATGCCTGAGAACAGACGTCATATTGTTCCTTACGTTTGCTTGGTGCGGACCACAAAGGAAATAGTTTCCTTTATATTGTTGTCACGTTCTTAAGCGGGGATGTTTTTCGGCCGTCGCATAGAAACGGCAGTTCTTCTATTGTTGCCTGTATTCATTGCAGTGAGAATGTTTACGGACATTCCTCTGGTGTTATAGAAACGGCCCATATGTCACAATAGCATTCACCTGATGTTACTGTGATGGTCAAATCAAGGAAAATGAGAAGTGTACGTCATACAGAACATGTACTCTTCTCCAAGTATAATTAGAATGATCAGGTCAAGGAGGATGAAGTGGGCAGGGCATGTAGCACGAATGTGGAAAAGAGAAATGCATATAGATATTGGTGGGAAAACCAGATGGAAATATACCATTGGGAAGACAAAGGGGTAAGTGGGCGGACAATATTAAAATGGGCCTTAGAGAGAAATAATGGGATGTTACGGACTGGATCAGTCTGGCTCAGGATAGGGACCAGTGGAGGGTTCTTGTGAACACGGTAATGAACCTTCGGTTCCATAAAATGTTGGGAAGTTCTTGAGTAGCTGCACAATTGGCTGCTTCTCAAGAAGGGATCAGCTCCATGATTTAGTGAGTGGGTGAGACCATATACAATGCAGGGGGGAAACGTGAAATGCATACAGAATTTTGGTCGTGAAACCTGAGGAAAGAGACCACTTTGAAATCTTAAAAGTGCTTGGAAGAATAATACACAATCAGCTTACCGATGGTGGTGAGGTTGTCAGCCTTATGTGCTGGCCGCACTTTACCCCCCAGGAAGATTCCTGGTACTCATTTCTGTTAGAGGCTGACTAGATACCAGGGCCATAGTGCGGCTGGAAGGATTAGGTCAATTGAAAAATCCAGTGACTTCATCTGGAATCGAAGGCTCAACCTCCCTGTTACGCTAAGTGTTGCACGTGAGACCGTAAGAACTAATTGACATTAAGGATTATTTCATGACTGTCTGAGGATTCTCAAGGGCTCACCAAACGAGCTAGCTCAATCGGTAATGTTTCTGATTTTCATTCACTTAATTTTTTGTTCGAACTGGGGGTATATTGCGTTTACCTATAGTCCCTCCGAGCCAATAGTGAAATAGGATCACAAATGTTGCCTTGGACGCACTTTCCAATATATTACCGTCCTACAGTTTGACGGTATAGATCTAGAGTCTCCAGTACAAACAAAAAACAATCTCCGTAGCCTGTAGTCCGCCAGCGAACTATACCGACAGAGCTACCGCCGTTTGTCGGCGGAGTTAGTGCCAACTTTTGAAATAGCTCCTCAGTTATCCTCACGAGGCGAGTAGACCTCGTTTCATGCCCACTACTTCTCAGAAAATCTGGTAGCGCCGGGAATCGAACCGTAGAACTGTGGATCTGTAGCCAGGAACTCTGGTCAC